GAGTGCAGGGAGACAGTTCTTTGTGCTCAGAAGTGCTGCTGGTGCATCTGAGAGGGCTTTGAGGGAGAGGACCTCAAACACTGACCCCATCCCTCAGGGTGCTGCACTGCAGGCGCCTGGAGGGTCTTGCTGCTCCCCAGTGTAGGACCTGGGCTCACCCAGCTGCCAGCATGCATCCGGATGGCTCTCATCAAGAAGAAGGAGATGATACCGGTGCGAGAAAGCTGTGCTGGACCTGGCAAGACGCAGCCTGGCTGCCTATGCACGGACTCTGCTGGGGGCCAAAAGCAAGGTGGAGATCCAGGCTGTGATGCCTGCTATGCAAACACTATCAAATCTGCCCTTTCTTCTAGGGGCTAGAAAACTTAAAGAAAAATCCTTCCACTGGTGCAGAGACCCCCATTTCATGCAGCATGGGGTGTTAAATGGCACCTTGTGCAGGGGCTATAAATGTGTATGTAGGAGGCATGGGAGGAGGACTCTGAGGTCCTGGTCTTGCAGCCCTAAGATTTACTGTCTTCCAGCTCCAATGCTATTTTTATCACTTGGGCTGCAGTTTTTACTTACTATTCTTATCCTGTGTTGCTGATTACCCCCGATTATGAAGGAATTTAAACTTGCTCAACACATGTTAATGATTCTGTGTCGCACAGCATAAATCAGAGAATGGTATCGGCAGCCAAAGCACGGGAACAAAGTCTGCACAGGGGCCTGGCCTCCATTTGGCACAGGAGAATAGTGCATTGTGTTAGCATCAGGCACTGTCGATTTTTATAACAGAACATGTAAGAGCCTACACTGGTTTTATTCTTCCTTTTTACTTGTCTGAACAGTCAATCAAGAAGAGTTTCTAAGTCACCATAAAAAATAGCCAGAAGAGGCAAATCCAACAAGCTGTCAGGACTGATTTTCCTGGAAAGATGAGTACAAAATGCTGTTCTTATTTACATTATTCATGCACATTTTTCTAGTTCTAAAGGATTCACTAGGGTGTGTAATGTATTTTTCCAATCAAATGAGTTAATTTCTCAGCAAATTGTTCTGTTTTGCCATAATCCACTAGTGGGTATTTTTCTTACATCTGTTGGAATTATTATTTAACTAATCTGCAAAAATTTAAGCTATGTTGGTCTGGAAGAAGAGAAGAGAACCATGTGAATTAGCCACACTCAGTTGTCAAGATCCTTAGGAGCCAGAAGACACGAGTCTTAATGTGACCTTCAGGGTGGGCTCTGCTCTTCCCCCAGAGGGAAAGAAGACCGATGCTTCCAAAATGAAGAGCCTTTCCTCTGCCTGCACCCTTGCACAAGACCCTGCCTCATCCACAAGGCCCCTGCAATGTCAGCTGGGGTGGCTGAAGCTGCTCTGAGCACCTCGATGCTGTCCCCTCCAATGAATGTGAGCTTAGCTGCTGAGTGAGACAAACAGGTTCTCCACACTTAAAGAAAAGTACAGTCCACTTTCAGAGAGCATTTGCATGACAAGCAAGCCTAAGGAAAGGGCTGGAGACCATTTAAGCTGCACCTGCAGCCAGCAGTGGATAGCTACAAGCTGTCAGTCCTGCCTCAGACAAGCTATCATTTATCCCCTAGTACAACCACATCTTGCTCTTGAATGAGAAAGAGAAAGAATTACTACAGCAGTAAGGACTGCATTTGCACTTAAATGAATTCTTAAACATCTTTTTGTTTAACCTTCCTGACGGAATAGACATGTCTGCCTGTGGAAAAATTGAAAACCAATAAATAACATGTCCACTGAGTGCTTCACCTTGGGAAAGGTCACATTTTGAAACATCCGTCTGCTCATGAAATTAAAGTTTCTATTTGATGGAAGAGAGATTATTTGGATTCAAGGACTAGTAGCAGAACTGATTGCATGATGGGTCTCTGAGTTAAAACAATAGCATCAGAAGCCAGAGTGGTGCTTGCTGGAGCAGCTACCTCCTACAGGGAACACGAAGAGTCTTACTGCTTTGATACTTAACAAAAATAATTATTAGCATATTTGTAATATGGCATGGTTATTGAACCCCTTCTAAATTCAGAAATTCTTACTGGCTACAACGCTTCTGACTTTGGGACTGGTCTCCATGGGGATTATGGCCCAGGTAGTCAGTCCTACAAAGAACTGATGCTGGCAGAGGGAAATCTTGATCTGGGCAGAATCACTGCACTGGGGCCACTCATATACTCACAGTTACCCTGCTCTCCCTGCCAGTCACCCCTCTCTGCCCAGCCTCTGCAACAACCATTTGCTAGAGTTGCTGCATCTAAACTGAGATGTCCGGGGCACTACCAAAATCTCCAGACATGGAGCAGGGTGTGTGAGAAAACCCCCTCCTCCAGTCAGAATGTAACAGGCTCCTGAGCTGTGAGACACTCGAAACTGCTGCGCACTGAAAAGCAATTTATGAAATGTGCTTTGGGAACTCTCCTGAGAGCAGGAGCACAGCAGAGCTCTGCTGCATGTGAATCTCCTTCTTCTGCTGTGCGCAGGGAGTCAGGAAAGTTCACAGAGGCTGTGTTTTCCAGGTTGCCAGCCATGGCTCAGCACTACACGGGTGCAGAAATGAGACAAAATGGGGAAAGGGCTCTCCTGGGCCAAGATAGGAAGTTTCCTTCATGTTCATTATGACTCAGAAAGCCACCTGGTATTCGTGGGAGGCAGAAAGCTGGGTGGGGAGTAGAGGGGGAGGCTTGGAGCAGCACACAGGTAGCAGAGTCACTGGGGTGACTTGTTGGGCTGCATGGCAGCCATGGTGTGGAGGAGTCCTGGGGTGCAGGCTGGGGTAAAGCATGGTCTATCCTTGCCTTGTGTTATGGGGTAGGGTGAAAGGGGGAATGTTGCTTCATTTCCAACTTTATGATTAGAATATTAGCCCTTTATTAGAGCACAAATTATTGTGTTCATGCTACTCCTGCCCTGTGTTTTACATGATCTGGGTGCTCTTTACTGGCAACAACGCATTCCAGTAAAGCAATGTTGTGGACATCCCCTGATGTAATGGGAGCATGAAAATCTTTTGAAGCAACTTTGCTTCCTGCAAAGCTGTCAGGGTCAGTTTAGGGACACAACATGAGAGCTTTTGGACAAAAGCACTGGACCCATGCCTGGCTGGCCGTGAAATATGCTCTTTATCCTTTGTCCTCCCTTTCTCTTTTTTGCTTGGCCTGGCCCTGTTTGAATTTGGCAGTCCTATTAGCTGCCTCGGGCATATGCACAAGGACAGATAGACCAGCTCTCCTGGAAAATTATATACCTTCACCTGTCAGTTTGTATGTTCAAAACGCGAGCAGAGCCACAAGAGCAATCCCAGGAGTGATTGTATAGTACGGTGCTGCTGGCGTCTTACATGGCACAAATGTGTATGCATCATGGTCCTGCATTTTCTCAGTGCATCATTTGTCTTAGAGGCAGGCCATGATGACTTTATATATGTTGCATTTTTGCCATATCTCTCATAGTAGAAGGCAAAGCTGGAATAACTCAGAGCACAGCCATAAATTCTAGGAATGCTTCCGAGGCAAGTTAAAACAAATTAGTAATTATCATGACTGACAGGTACTCTGCAGCGACCAATGAGGAGCCTGCTGATGAATACTAAAAATCTCTTAGCAGAGGAGTTACAACTGTGGCTGTCAACATGGCTATAATTAGGCAGCACTAAGTGAAATGACTTCTTCTCAGATGTACTCCCTTGAGAATCCACAGATCTGGATTATCATACAGAGGAAGGAGACTAAAAAGGGCTGTTCGCTGTTTGTGTTGTGGGGCCTACAGAGGCCAGCCAAAATGAGACCCAAGTGGAGTGGGTACAGGACTTGTGCAAGAGTGGGGTTAGTCTGTCAATCCAAACTGTCACACTTTGCAATTTCCCTTCTGCCTTCATTTCCAGGGCCTCCAAGCACCTCACAAGTACCAGAGTTATGCCTCTCAAATACCCAAGAGTATTAATCACTTGAAAGATGAGTTAATAATCTCTGAGTTGTTGAGACATGCTGAAGGACAAGCTGATAAATTTTCATTGCACAGTGGGGAAGTGTTCCTCTGGCTGGGAGATCAGATTGATGACAAGTTCAAAAGTCTCCAGGGAAGCAGATGAAGAGACAGAAGTTCTGTGTGAGCAGGAACAGTCACTTATAAATATGAAACCTCCAGTGGAAAAGTCAAGCAGTGTTAAAAGAGACCCATACCTCCCTACTTAAGGATTAATCTTTGCATAAAGGCTAATTGTTGCTGCATAATTTTTCCAGTGCCTAAAACAAGCAGGTCTTTCTTCAGCATTATGCCTTTAATTTTACAGTTCAGAGAAAATAAACACCCATGAAACATTTGTGAACAGAAATAGCTCTCTAACTACCATTGAGTTCTTGTGCATTTTTCATGCTGGATATTGCAACCCTGATCTTGTTCTTTACATGTGACACCACTTCTTGCAGCAGCTATGTGTGAAAGGGGCACATCCTTGAGGTTACCATAGTGGCCTGAGATGAACCGGACTGCCACATCCCTGCCAAGGTGAAGCAGCAGCAGTGACAAAGACGACTGAGAAGGATATTAAACTATCACTGATTAAGGCAGCTCTGACTATAATGCTGAAATCAGCCTGACTCCATCCTGGGTGCTGCAGACTATGCTGCATTTCCACAATAACAAGAAAACATCACTTGCTTAGCGCTGTTGTCCTGGGAACAGAAAATTTCCACTCACTCCTCAAAATGCTGATCTGTTGACTCATTTTTCAGGTGAGCTGTTGTTAAATCTTGATGGGTGTGTTGCTATCGCATCCTGTTTGTGCAGGAGTAAAGGGCTAAGATTTACCAGTTCCCTGTGTGTCCATTCTAATAGCAAATGGCCTCGCGTTGAAAGCAGGAATTTGTGGTTCCAGAGATGCCTTGAATCCCCGCTTCTAATCTTTGTACAGGATTCAGTCCATTAAGGCTAAGCACCATTCAGGAACTTTCCAAGAGATGACAGATTTACATGAGTCGATGCTTTACGCTGAGGCTCTCCTTGCAAGTGATGTGGCTGCAGTCAGGAATTAGACCATTAACTCTGAGTAGTGCCAGGCTTGTCAAATTGGGGCATGGCCATCACATTTATCTATAATACCAGACTGTTTGTTCCACTCCTGAGGAAGGTAATAGAAAGCATGTAGGACTGAATTAACCTAAAGGTAAGTAATTGCAGAATTCAAATTTCCAGGTCTTTTTACTCCTTCCTTTCGTGTTTCAAAGATCTACCAGCCACCTGGGGAGGCAATGTGTTGTCACTATCAGTACACCTGTGTGGAGGACAGCAGAAAAGCAGCTCCTCCTGTGAGTCAACGTGCTCCCTTCTGAAACATTCAGTATGATTAGCAAGGAGTCTTGTAAGTATGTCTTTTTCCTCCATCTGGCAGTTTGATCCATGTTCCCCTGTCACCATTTTTGATGGATTCATTTCACACATAATGAAAGACTGTCTCACGGGTGCTTAAAAAGCAATAGCAAGGCAGTTGCTAGCACTCCAGAGCAGAGACCTTCAACCAGTGACTCTGCTGGCCGGTTTTAGTTACTGTATGGTAGGAGGAGCACCTCACCTAGCAGCAGTCTTGAGCCTTATATTTGCTATGGTGGAAACATTTTTGACGGTATAAATGAAAGTGTATTCAATGGTGACCACTACCAGACCAAAAGAGCAGGGTTGAGCACGGCACCAGTGTTCTCATGTGCAAAGCTAGCACCACCCACACATGCTTCTGAGAGAAAAAGGTGTAGAGGTGACGCCAACACTTAGGGACAACTAGTCAAGGGAGGGGTAGACGTTCATTTTCAAATGAAAAGTGGGAGTACAGCTCTCAGATGAGTCAGTAAGGAAGAGCCCCCGCAGAGGAGTCTCACACCTCTTACTGCCTTGCAGAACTGCTCGTTGCTGCCTCTTTGCTCCTGTCCTACTTTCTAGGAAAGCTGCAAAAGTTCACTGCATTCTCATAATGCCCCCAACAGCAATTCTGAGCAACCTGCACTATCACAGCACTCATTATGCCATCAGCTATACAAAGAGAAATCTGAAGATAACAGACAGTGCTTTTCACTGACACTCCTCCTTGCATGGGTAAGAGCTGAGCCTGGGCTGTGTGAGGTGGGGAAGGAGCATCTCTGAAAGTTTCTGTTAATCGCACAAGAGTGTAAAAGGCAGAATGTCCTTTTACATTTCTGTGCAGAAAAGGATGGCACAGAGAGGATGAAGTATTCCAGAAACTCCACTTTGGGTCTCCATTACTGCTCAGAGGCTTAGCTCTGTGACTGTGCCACCAGGACTTACCCAGAGATGTTGGCATTTACAACAGACCCATCAAGAACAACACTTGAAAACTTGAGACACAGCCTTTATATGGCCTCATGGTCCATAATTCTGTTACATCCTCTCCTTTTCATATAGTCAGACCCGTAATAGTGATGTAAATAGCATTTTGCTGTCCTTCTTACATGACCCAACCTGCAGACTTTCATCCTACAGGTGAAAAGACACACTTGCCCATGGTCCTTAGGGAACAGTGTGCTGGGAAAACAACAGCGAACTGAGTGATTTGTTCTGCAGCATCCTGTCCAGTTCACCCTTCCTTTCAGAGCTGCCTGGTCCTTAAACAAGAACTGTTAGCTATAGCAAAACAATAGCCTATCATAATTTCAGAAAAAAGTCTATAGTGTTCCCCTGAAGACCCAACTCTTCTGCTCCTCCAGTCAGTCAGAGGCTCACTGGGTAGGGAGGTATCACTGGTACAAGAACCGAAGGATGGAAAAGCCTCTAGTCCTACCCTGGATGGCAAATGCACTCTCCTGAAGCCAAGTTAATCTGTAGTTTTGGGACTGAAACAAAATAAATTTAGTGAAAGAAAGTCCCCAAACTGGATTTGCTTTATTTTCTACTTACTTGATTTATGCTGAGGTAATCAACTTGAATAAAATGGAGAAACCTGGTTGTTTATCCTAAATTCCTGTTTCTAGCCCTGAGACACACAGAGCTGGTTCAAAACAGCCCTATCACACACAAAGGGATCTGGCCCCTGCGGGGCGGGCACAATGTCTCCTGGGTATCTATTTAACACCCTAGCTGACAGCAGATAATCCCTCAGCAGATGCAGGTAAATTTCTGTTTAGGGAAGCCACACACTTCCATTGCTCTTGCCCTTGGACATTTGGGTTTTGCTTCTACTCTACAGGACTGAGAGTAGCAATATATGCTCCTTAACCAGCAGTAAGAAACTGATGTTAAATGTACACTGGTCTCACCAGTCTCTGCAGGAAAACCTGGCTCACTTTGGAATTTCATTACCTTTCATAGAATCATAGAACAATCCAGGCTGGCAGGCACCTCTGGAGATTGTTTCTAATGTCCTGCTCAAGTAGGGCCAGCTAGAGCAGCTGCTCAGGACAGTGTCCTGTTAGGTTTTGAGTATCTCCAAGTATGGACACTCCATAACCTCCCTGGGCAATCTGTGCCAGTGTTTAGCCATCCTTACATTAAAATGCTTTTTTTTCTTTAAGTGGAATCTCCTATATTTCAACCTATGCTCATTCCTTCTTGTCCTTTCACTGGGGGCCACTGAGAAGAGTCTGGCTTCATCTTCTTTATCTTAGCAAATCCTTACCTTTCCCCATACCAGGAGAGAGGACCAACTGGATGTATTGCCAGGAGGACACAGTCCTCACTTCCCGATCTGTGTCAACCACTTTGAATTCACAACTCTAATCTGTATGTTAGATTTTAATCAAACATTAGACACCACCTGTACCACTAAAATTAATAACTTTAAAAGCTCCTGTAAAGAACTCAGTTGCAATTCTTTAAAGTAAATTTTTAATATGCTTCTGTTCTTCCCTACACTTCATTTGCACTTGCAAATTTCCATCCAAGGATGTTGTAAAAATGCCAGCACAATATGAAGTATCTCTTACACACTGAAGCCAGACTAACGATGTGGGGCTGATTCCTAATGACAGCCACAAGTCAGCATGTTTGCGACCAGTCAAGAAGCATCATTCACTCAGCTGCCAACACAGGCTTATTTATTTGTAAAGCATTTCCTGGCTGCTAGGGTAAAGGAGGATCTAAAGAGACTGAAAGTTTACCCTAACATTTATGTTGTCACAGGCAAATACCATTTTACTGCCTGCCAAGGGTTTCTAATGTCTGTCACCTTGCTACCTTGGTGCAGCTCAAGCACCAGGACTCCCCTGACATCCTGCCCCTTGTGCACAGAAGTTCCTGGGAGTAAGCCACTGCTAAATATTTCTCAAGCAAGACTGGCAGCTCAGAAAGATTCACTCATTATCAGAAAAAAATCTTTAAAATTAAAACTTCTTTAATAGGCTGATATTGAGAACATGCCGGAGAATGTACCACACTGGAGCTTGAACCAGAAATACAGTTGAGATAGCAGGATCTCATTACAGGGGTCTTATTAATAGTGAAAAACTCTAGGACTCTTCACTATGATATTTAACTCAGAGGAAAACCCAAACCATAAAACCCCTGGATTACAAATATATTAATCAACATTTTGAAAAAAGTTGTCAGGCAATACCAACTGCTCTGATAGTTAATTATTTAAATTTTGTGTTCAAATTTATTCTTAAGCAGACTGTGATCCTTTACCAGCATCACATTAAGAATTTTAAAAGCTTTTCCTTTGCTCTGATACATTTTAAAAGGCAACAGTCCCCCTCAACCTTCACTTTGGGAGGCTAAACAAGCCAAGTTCCTTTAGGCACTGTTAATAAAACACATTTTCCATTCTCATGTTGATGTTCGCATCTTTCTCTGCACATGGTGCAGTCCTGAGTTCCTCTTCCTTGAGCACAGATCACTTGAGCTGCACACAGATGAGTTCTGGGTATATAAGCCTTGGAATATGTCAATACTTTATTCGGATACATAAAGCATCTGTTTGCCTTTTTCCCAATCATCTCATCATGATATGATCAACTATTACCCTCATTCCTTCCTTGCTGTAGCCCTCTCACAGCTATGAATGGCCTTTTTGGAGCAGACACCCTTCTTAAGGTCTGACTGATCTTACATAGCTTTAGCTGACTGAACAGCAGGTTTCACAGCTACCTCTTGAGTGCACAAGAGAGACACGTCCCACAGGTGATTCACTCCAGATTGTTGTCTCAAGACTGAACTTCCAGAAAAACTTCTTTCTGTATTGCTGATAAAGAAGCCTTAATAAATGTTTGGGTTTGACATCTAACATCCAAATAGCTCCTACCCTCATATATGGCTTGTGTTCTGCCCTAGCAAATGACACTTTATTTACACTGCTTTAGACATCAGTGTCATGCAGTGCTTTTAATATTCCATCCCTCTTCCATGCTGACAATACTTCAAAACTTCCTTAGCATGTGCCATGGTAATAAATTAATATCTTTAAGAGGATCAGGACCAACACCTTGAGGAATTCCACTATTATTTTCCTTCCTATTCAGTAATTCTTTGCCCAAGTTGATTTGTGCTGGCTCCTTATTCATTTTGATACCCAGTTTTAAGGGCATCTTGTCCAGTCCAAGAGTTATCAAATCAACCTGGCTTAGTGCGGCGGGCGGAGGAAGCAAGCAGCCGATTCAATATGAATGATAGAGCAAGCTTCAACTTTATTGAAAGAAATCACACCTTATATAAGCAGTCTACGATACACTACTTGCAACTCTATTGGATACATTTAAGAAACTATAATATCTCAGCCATTGGGTACATCTAAAAGGTCACATTATAATATCCCAGCCCCTCGTGGCATCTCTGGTATGCATAAACATCTTTCTTGCTGTGAACCTGCTTCTCTCCCAGGGCTGCTTTCTTCTGACCCCCAAGGTCATAATGCGCCCCAACTTATCTCTGTGTTCTCACAACAATCCTCGCCAGCACAACTGAGCCCTGGGTCTTCATCCTTGTTTACATAACTGTACCCTGGGTTTTTTCCTTTGTTTACCTCAGGTGGCTGGGACCACTTCTGCAGGGAGCTATGGCCGACCAGCTCATGCAGGGAGCTATGGCCTTGCTCTCTGCAAGCCGTTCTCCAACAGCTTAGCAAGATAGCTCATCAGCTTAGCATCGAGGTAAATGAGTTATGCCCAGAAAACCAACAAGAGATACCAGCTGAGTTTGCTCTAATAATTTTATCTACATCATCTTCTATTACCTTCAGGTCTTAATTATCCTTTTCTTCAAAAGTTGTTCTAAAGATTGCCCACGATTGTAGAAAGACTGATAAGTCTCTGACTGCTAAGATAATCTTTGTCTTTTTAATAAGCATGGATACAGTGCTTACTGTTCTGCTGTCAGACTGGAGCACTCCTAAATTTTAAAATCTCTGTTCCTGGAACAGCAGTTTTATACAAGAGTTCTTCAAATCTCTTGATGTAGGTCATTTTATTTCTCTCAGTTTGAGCACAATTAATGCTGTGAGCTTCTCTCTCACTTCACTTATGGTCACTCCTGTGTCTCCATCTTTTTTCCAGCCATCCACTCTAGATTTATTTTCTGGTGTAGCCAGAGCAGGAATGGAAGTATTCCTTTGCTGTGTGAATTTACGAGAGCTGCTGCAGGTTCCCTCTGAAAAGACAAACATGATCACAGAGAGATAGCATTACATATGAGACCACCTTCTGCTGTATGCATTTTCACTTACCCTGCAACATTTTACAAATATATAGATCTCTCTACTGATGAACTAAGAGAGAGCTGAGGAGTCCTGCCAACATGAGGCTGAAAATGGCACATTAAACTCCAAGGAAGTTGGTGAAGTACCAAAAGAAGCACTTCTATCATGGAATAATGGTAAAACTTTTTAGTTAAAGCCTTTGGCTTAAGCAGAGGCTAAAACACACATGTGACTTTACCCACAGGGGGTAGCAGGAAGGCCAGGAGGCCTCTTTCTTTTCACCACAGAGTGAGTCTTTCATGTAAAGCGTCTGCTTTTGTGCCCGTCAAAGTCAACATCAAAACTCCCTTTAGTTTTAATAGCATCCTATGTTTGCAGAGTGCTTTTTGCTTGCTTGGAGCTGAACAGAACTACCTACATGCTCTTTTGCACAGGCATTAGTGCCTGTTTGGTGCCAAGGAAATGGACCGTATTGTCACAAAGGACCTTATCCAGGTACTAATAGCATTGTAAGAGATTTCTAAAAGCACACTGTAGACTAAAGGCACACAGTCGATTTCCACGTTCTGTATTTACTGATCATTCTTACAGTCAGCATTTAGGGAACTTGGCACAGACTGTTAGGGCAAGTGTTTTAGTTGAATCTGAGTTTGTGCTAATGCAGGGCATTCTTCACTTCACTTTGTTGTCTCAGCCGATTAACTGTGAGGTAGCATGCCAACCACATGTTCTCTAGCATCCTTACAATGTGTAGAGGTTCTTCCTTTCCTCAAGCACAGGTTTTTATGTCAGACAAGACAGCAGAACCCTGATAATTCATCTGCTGCTAATTTGGTGGAAAATGACCTAATCTGGTGAACTATTCCAAGAATTAATGTGATTCTAAGTTTGTACCTTAGCTTTATTAACCTTTGGCTGTGTAGTCTGTGTACTGTGAAGTCCAGACCAGCTGGACATCTTTACCAGTGCATTTGGGAATAAATGTATTTTGCAAAATGTTAACTCAGAGGTTCCTAAGTGAGTTCATTAGTTACAGTGGCAGAATTCCAGTGGCTTGGCACCAGCCCCCAGAAGTGAGTGTGCAGCTGTCCTCGTGAGAGTATTGCTGGCCTCAGCGAGCCATGAAAGGACAAGTGCTGTGTAAGGTCACACACGCAGCTTTCCCAGCAGCTTGCTGCCTTTATCTGCGGTATGCTCTATTGCACTCCTGGGCCTAATTCGCTCAGATGATTGCTTAATGTGCCGTGCTCTATGGGGGGGTTGAGACACAAAAAAAGGGACTATGACAGGACCAAATGCATGGTCATCCATGACCTCCTGTAAGCTGCATGCAGGCTGCAGGACGGCAGTGACACAACCACCACGCAGCCACAGGTTCTGGCTATCATGGATCTGCTCCACCATCAAACACACTTCAGCAAGGCCCGAGACACTGAACAGCAGGTGGGAACTCTGAAGGCACCCAGACTGAAAAATACTGGGAGCTGGTGCAGGCAGCCACAATGGCTGGTGGAGATTCAGCCTGTTCAACCAGACACTGCAGCTTTGTAGAAGAGCTCACTTCACACATCTGTGGGTGAGCCTTCCAGAGCCTGATGTGTCAAGTTCCCTTATTAAGATACTTACTGTTTATATAAAGGCTTTCTGCAATAACAGGTAACAAATGGAAATCAAGGATACTTTTGAAAAAGCTGACTAAAACATTTTAGTTTCTACAGATGAGAAATTTTTTTTTTTGGATCTAAGAGTGAAATACATATAAAATGGTTTATTTTAATGTAAGGAAGATCACACGGTTCCTGCTCATGGAAAAATAAGATCATTTAACCATGGAGTATACTTAAACACTAGTTTGGCATGTTTGTAAACTACATAATGGAGATGTTTTAGCATGTTCTTATAGGATATGAATGAGGACAGTGTATTTGTAAAGCTAATCTTTTACAACCCTGTAGTTCCAGTAATACTGCAACATAATATATTCCCTAGTAAGAGAAGATGCATTGTTTTGTGAAACTGAGCCACACATATGGTTTACGAATGCATACACATATTTTATACTTTTTCAAAATTATAAAAGCCCATATTTGGGGAGACAAAAAAAGAATAAGAACTACTAAAGATCTGGCTTTGTTAGGGTACGATCAAGCTTATATCTTCCTGGTTTACACTGTGAAAACAAATGACGTGTCCTATCCTAGTTTTAGTAGCAGTCCTGTGACTATTGAAAAGGATGAATGAAATAAAAGTTCAGGTCTAGACACCAGGAAATGCTGAGGTCACACAGAAGATACTGGGAGGCACCCTGGATCTGAGGCCCTGACAGGAATGGCTCCCTCATGCTTGCACTGTTTATTGAAAGTCATTTCACTGAACTCTACAGCTGGATGATTCGATTCTCAGATGGGGGATTTTTTAAACCATGTTAACTTAGCAACGGGAAGGTGCACTTAGATATACACACCAAACAATAAATATTTTACAGTGGGATATTGAGTTTTCTACCAACTTGGCATTTCATCCAGATTTCCTGCCAGAAACATAATACAGTGTAAAAACTGCAAAGTTTGGAAGTTCAGAGAAATCTGGGTTTTATGCTAGTTTCAGACTTACTGAAGCCCATTAACAGTGTGCAGGAGTTATAATTGAAGCAGCTTACAACTGGAGCAAGTGTTTGTCTTGGCTGTATTTTTGGTACAGCCTATATGGCCGACAGAGGAGATAGAGAGCAGGCCATTCACAGGACATCGGAGAAGTTAAGAAATGCATAATTAGCTAAGTGTGTGAAATACCTGCATGCTAACTTCCAAAGCTAGTAGTGCAAATTTCAAAGCACGAAAATGAGAATACAGTGCTCAAGAATGACATAATTCAACCTTACTGCTTCCATTTCTTATTTATCGCTTATGGTGGCGATGACATGTAACTACTTTAATTTACATAACTGCAGTACCCTGAGGCCCCAGCTGAAGGCTTGCTCCTGTCCCACTGGGATATACGCTGAACACTGTTCAGTATCTGGCTCCTACCTACACGTGTGCATCTCCAGTCTGAGTTATGTACTGTTTTGGTTCTTGCTACCTGCCCTGGTGGGAAGTGAGGTAGAACTCAACGTCTTGCTTTTATTAAAAAAATCAGAAGTCAAAACTGCTATTTATTTCAGAGTTGCAACATTTATTTCCAGTTATAATTTTTGGTCTGCTTTGACTTTATTCTATTTTAGTCTGTCAACTGAGGCTGTAACTTTATCAAAAAAAGCTGAACCCTGCCAAACCTGCAAAACAGAAAATTTGAAAGAACACCACAGACCTCCTAGCTGGATATGCAGTAGCGGACTATGGCTCAGATCAGCCCAGCTCACCCTGTGTTTTTGTGCCAATAAACTAGCCATCACATAGCCTGCAGGCTGTTTGGTAATGTGGCACCTCTCACCCCAGTTAGGCTTGAAGGTTCCCATGAGTTTATTCAAACATGTTAATGATTCAGAAGCCCTTTCATTTAAGCCTGGGGAGCAGGATCACTTTGCCATGATGGGTGTGGGATGAACACAAGGCAAAAGTCAGCTCCTGCCCCAGAGGTACTACGTTTGGACAAGCCAAAGGTCAGAACAGAATTAGAAGGTGAGACAAGTCCTGCAGGTGGAAGTTCCTTGCTGCTGCCAGCTCAGGCTTTGAGGTACTGTACAGCAATGCCTGACACTGGAACTCCAGTTGTTTATTGATTCATTCTGTGAAAAAGAAGAAATAGTTTATTTTACTAGAAATTTATGGGTCTCGGAGAAATTTACTAGAAATTGTATGGGTCTCACAGACACAGAAAGCCACCACTAAATGTGCTGGCATGCAGGAAAGGCTACAGCTGATCAGAAATTATATCCTGTGGGTCCAAGAAAGCATCAGCATAAAATCAGTTCAAACTAACAGTTAAATCCTTGCAGGCCTTCCTCACTTTTCAGTGAGCCTTGGCAGAAATAGGAGTGTTGCTGAATCTCACCGCAAACAGAAGCAGGCAGACTCATTCTGCTTAAACAGCTGATCTGTGGGACCTCCTGGAGTGGCAGTTTCTTCTGGACGCCTTGTGTGCTAGCCAATTTCAGGCTACAGTGGAAATGGTCTCCCCACCAGACACTCCCAGGGAAATTTCTTGCGCTACTGAAATAGGCAAGATGGGAACTCTCAGGAGCTCTCCCCACAGTGTGTTACTGATTTGTCATGGGAACTGCATGGTAACATGATTATATGAATTTGTCTGAAAGGAAACTGGTCAACTGACAGCATTTTCTGGTTGTAAATTTGTCCTAGATATAGGATTATTAAGATCTTCACTCCATGCCCCATGAAGCATATTTGGACTACCTTCCCATAGCCAACTCAATCTGTTCTTGGAATCCAAACAGTGTGTTCATTTGCATCACACCTGTACATAAAGGAAAACCTGCAGCTCACTAAGAAAATGGGTTTTAGGGCTTGAAATCGTTGCTGTGCTCATGGGAAAAATCAACCCCAGAAGCCAAACCTACACAAGCAAATGTTTCCACCACCTGCTGCATCTCCTCTCTACCCTGCTGGCCCCTACAGAGAACCCACTCCAGAGGTTTTCCAGAGCTCCTCTATCACTTTCAGTTTGTTCACCTCTAATGTTACACAAATTGAAAACTCTTTTCTTCTCATCCATCTATACAAAGCAGTCTCCCAAAAAACTCCGCGGTCACTTCCCAAACGTTTTTAAGACTTCCAGTGACAAAGAGCAGCTTATTTTCATTGCCTTGGCATTGCTTCCTCGCTGAAAGAAACCACGGTAATCAGAAGCTGTGATTTTCCTGACCCTCCAGATAAGCTGCTTCCCTGCTGGAAGTACAGCAATGCTGTCTGATACCTACACATCTCAAGTGGACTCCAAAACTGCGGCAGAAACATTAAAACAAACGCCAACAAACCAAACCAACTAAATGCATATTACAAAGAATGGGACAGATTCTTCTGATATAAATTTAGTCAAAAGTCCTCAAAATTAATGTCTTGAGGAGTAAGGAAAATGGGATGTAAGAGCTACAGCCTCTTCCTGCTTCTTGCTAGAGAGAGCAGAGCATGACTGGGTGTAGGAAAGCCGTGCGCTGTCATCCATGAACTGCGTATTTGTGAACTCCAGCGGCCTGCTTGCTGTGCAGACAGACGGAAATTGTGTGATGGTGATACAAATGCCGCGAGCCCGAGGAGAGAGGCTGGCGGGGCGGGCAGGGCGTGCGGCCGCCGAGCCCCCAGCAGGTGGTGGTCTCCGACAGCGCAGGGAAGAAGCTGCCGCTGCGCCGGCAGAAGCGGCATCTGCAGCCGAGAAAAAGAAAGCCCTGCTGGGGTCCGATTTAGTTCTTGGTGGAAAAGAAGCGGGAGGGATTGGCCCACATTTCTAAGACTGTCCTGCTGTGCGCTTGCAGTGGGTGGAAGCTGGCTTCCCTGACAGAAGTCAAGTGTCTGGGGGACAAGTCAGAGAGGTCTCAGTAGCAGAGCTCATTGCAAACTGAAAATAAAAGGCATTTTTGTATGAATTAAAGTGATCTCTCTTATTTTGAAGATACACTTTTAACAACAGAAAATGTTGGGTTCTTAATGCCCACCTTAGCTTTGCAAACATCTGACATCTCACAGACTGCAAAATTACCTGTCCTGCTTATGCACATGAAGAATATGAGCCTGCCAAGCCAGTAAAGAGTGGCATGTACAGCTATCAAATGGCAGGACTGCAGTCTGGCTGCACTCTGAGCTCCTGATGCTCAGTTACTGAGCAGTACTAAGCTGTATGGCTGCCTAAGTCTGTCACTTCAGTTTCACTTAGACTGCTACGGCACCAACCTCAACACGCCAAGGGCTTCTGTCATCATGACACCAAAAGTACCACAGACATGAACCCCATCCAACCAAAGCCAGTGGTACAGATGCATCTTAATGCACATGCCAAGGGGTGGAATGATGGTTGCACAGTCAACTTCTGTGTTCTGGAGTGGTTTATGTGGCTTTGTGACCTTAACGTTAACTTCTGTGAATGTTTAACTGCCCAGGTTTTTTTAGAGAACAAATGGAAATCAAATCCACCACATGGCCTCATAGCTACACCTGTATTGGTCACAAGTGGGACTGAAACATCTACTGTGTGATACTCACCTCTGCTTGAGTGGAGTGTGTAGACCCCAAGCTGATAGCACCGAGCAGCCACTTTCTGTGAGCCATCACTAAGGGCAGTTTAAGCACATAAACCACATTGAGTAATTTCAGTCACCTGACAATATAGTAGGAGCCTGTAGCAGTCACAAGCAGCACCAACAGGGAAAGTCTCCTTTATCCATGGTGTTCCTGTGCTGGAATTCAATGCATCTTCAAGGATTTTTGCTACCAAATTCTGTCAGTCCCTACTTAGAACATTTTCCACAGCTTTTAATGTTTTAATAGTTTGGGCTAAAGTTACACCTCTGGCTCTTTGCCAAATTCATGCCTCACTGCATGGAGGCACTCTAGTTTGCACAAATTTGTGTGTTTTGGTGGTAGAAAATGACTATGTCATTTTATCATGGGCAAGAACAAGTATTTCACCACTAACAAGTTCTGGTCCCGGCTGAACTATTTTTAGGAAAACTCGAAGCTGAAATTCAGCCTGAGGCAGGCAAGTGGTATGAGAAATTTCAAAGAAATGAAGTTTGGCAGGGAAATGGGGTGGAGCAGCCCTCTCCCTACACCCAGACATCTGCAAGCTCTGAACTAACACCGGAATGCATCTGGCTGTTACGAAATCAACAGAGAGCAAGAACGTCCTTCTTCTTACCATTAGACATGGATGTCTTTAGAGTTTTGAAATTTCCCCTAATCTTTCTTTTTCAACTCAAGCCCTTTAGTAAATTTTCCAGGAAGATGTTAATTTCTGCGGGGAGGGGGGGAACCCCAAGCTGATCTGTTTGTCTCGCTTTAATGAAAGCCGGCAGGCCGCTCAGAGCCGGCCCTGGGCACAGCCCAGCACCCCTACCCCATGAAGCATTTTTGCGGCCTGTACCTTTGTGGGTTTCTCCACTCCTTTGTTCCCGGTCCCTTTTCGACTTCTCCCTGCTCAGGCCTCGCCCGCCCTCGCCTGCAGCTTCCCCAGGCAGACGCAGGGTGCGGTGCCGGGAGCGC